AACCGATTATAAAACCTCTCCTGTGTTTCTTCTGTTTTCTCAATTTTTGTTTGCTTTAGAATTTTGGTCAAACTTCAACTGCGCCTAGTTCTTATTGTTAGTGCGTCACTTTTACTACTTGTATATATACTTTTTAAAGCTTTTCATCAGCTAATGTTGATATTTAATTAGATACTGTTACTGTATTTAGAATTGTTCCTGTTACTGCTTTAATGCCCGCATATCTCAAAGGTGATCAATAAAGGTTTATCTTATCTTAAAACTAAAAAGGGCAACTAGCCTCCGCTGCATGTAATCACACATTCTGATAGACGATCATAAAACTGGTTTATTCCTGTTAAGAGAAAATGCCAGAGACTATTTCATTAAAAAGGGAAATGTAAGGGACAGCATGACGTAGCAGAGATACCAAGGAGTGCATGCAAATAAACACCAACTAACCAATAGCCAATCTGCATCAAGGCACACGGGGCGAGGTCACAGGAAGGAGAGTATAAAACATTTTGAGGTGAGGCATCAAATCATTCCCTTCATCCATCACCGGTACAGACGCTCTCCTTTCACTCACATCACAGGTGAGATCAGAAACCTTCACTCACTATTAGATCAAATATATAGACCTCTAAATATTTGAACATTTCTTCGAGTCTCCATTGACTCTAATAATTTGAATCACAGCAGCGATGGCAGCAGCAGTTTCATCCAGAAGCAGAGGAGCAGCGGGGGGGCTGTTCTTCCTCTTCACTCTGCTGGGTCTGGTTTGCACCGCAGCTTCACTGATGGATGAGAACAAACTGGTAAATAAATAGTGACTTCACTTCCACTGTTATTGGAAACAAATCCACATTTTCTTTCAGTTGCTCTTAAAACATGTTTTAATTATACCTGCTCATGCACCAAAGTGCGGCTAAGAGCTGCTTTTATGTTTCCAAATGTAAATGGTCATTTTCATGATGGATTTTTTCTTTAGAAACATCTCAAGGAAACACTTCAGAAAGTAGAACAAGTCCTGGACAAAGCGAAGGTGAGTCCATGAGTCACATCAATTATTTGGAGGAACTGACGGGCTGAGAGAAGTTGGCCTTGTTCAGAAGTGACTTTATGCACTACAGTGCACACAACACAGCAAATAGATTCACTGCCATCTCATGAAGTCTGTTTTTTCCCACATTAGGTACAAAGGGACACCGACTCAGAGAACCTCAATGGAATTATGAGCCGCCTTGACCAAACGACGGCGTTTATGAGGAAATTGGCGGAAGGTTCACCTGAATACTCTGCAATATGGGAGGAATATGTAAAGATTAGGGAGGAAGCTAAGTCTCTCCGTCGGGATAATGAGGGGCTGGAGGCAAAGATTTTGAAATTGGAACAGGATCTGAGAGCAATTAAGACATTAGTCCAATCCCTGGAGGAGTACCATGCTGAATTGTAACCTCCATGTCAACCAGTGCCTCCATGATACTGCACCTATTGTATCTGGGAGGTTTCTATTTCTTACTGAGCTGCTCCATCTTTACATTACAATGCACTGGCTTAGAAATCATGAATTTCTGTAATTGAAAATAGGTTATCGATAATAGGTGTGTTGACCTGCAACTGTAAATGAATAAATGTACTGTTCAAATGTACTATATTCAGTTGTTGCTAAAAATAATAAAAACAATGTTTGTATAACATGTCTTTGTACAGTGTTTCTGTCCTGAGGAGTTATTCCTTGTGTTTTCCAGTGAAGTCAAAATGTGTGCTGTGAGAGAGGTCACTGCCAACAGGTTTAACACTTATTTGATCAAGTACTGCCCCCTGGTGGTCACAGTAGTATGCAAACCTAAAAAGGGTGTGTCAGGTGGAAAAAGGAATAACCTGTCCTGCATTAAATATCAGGTCCAGACTTATGATACACGTGTTTTCTGTAGCATTGGTTAAATATATGTTTAACCTTAACTAATGTTTAATTAACCTGTTGCACGCCTCTCTAAAATAGATTTAGAGAAAATACTGGAACGCCTCTAAAAACACTAAAGGATAGAACTATTGACAAAGTGAAAATTAAGTGAAAGAAAAAGGCAGAGATGTTAAGTATCGTAGTAAGATCATTGCCCACTTAAATTGCACATCCAGTCTGTTTCTCGTATCGACACTAACCGATTATAAAACCTCTCCTGTGTTTCTTCTGTTTTCTCAATTTTTGTTTGCTTTAGAATTTTGGTCAAACTTCAACTGCGCCAAGTTCTTATTGTTAGTGCGTCACTTTTACTACTTGTATATATACTTTTTAAAGCTTTTCATCAGCTAATGTTGATATTTTATTAGATACTGTTACTGTATTTAGAATTGTTCCTGTTACTGCTTTAATGCCCGCATATCTCAAATGTGATCAATAAAGGTTTATCTTATCTTAAAACTAAAAAGGGCAACTAGCCTCCGATGCATGTAATCACACATTCTGAGAGACGATCATAAAACTGGTTTATTCCTGTTAAGAGAAAATGCCAGATACTATTTCATTAAAAAGGGAAATGTAAGGGACAGCATGACGTAGTAGATATACCAAGGAGTGCATGCAAATAAACACCAACTAACCAATAGCCAATCTGCATCAAGGCACACGGGGCGAGGTCACAGGAAGGAGAGTATACCACATTTTGAGGTGAGGCATCAAATCATTCCCTTCATCCATCACCGGTACAGACGCTCTCCTTTCACTCACATCACAGGTGAGATCAGAAACCTTCACTCACTATTAGATCAAATATATAGACCTCTAAATATTTGAACATTTCTTCAAGTCTCCATTGACTCTAATAATTTGAATCACAGCAGCGATGGCAGCAGCAGTTTCATCCAGAAGCAGAGGAGCAGCGGGGGGGCTGTTCTTCCTCTTCACTCTGCTGGGTCTGGTTTGCACCGCAGCTTCACTGATGGATGAGAACATTCTGGTAAATAAAAAGTGACTTCACTTCCAATTACTATAATAAAAGTGTTCTTATTGTTTCTAAATCTGCAGTATCATGCATTAATGTGCGGCTATATAAGAGCTGCTGTCGTGTTCCCAAATGTAACTGGTCATTTTCATGATGGATTTCCAGAAAAATCTCAAGGAAACAGTTCAGAAAGCAGAACCAGACCTGGACAAAGTGGAGGTGAGTAGGAGGGGAAACTTGATAGAATACGTAGAGAAATGTACATAAAGCCACAAGTGACTTTATGCACTACACTGAAAAACTGGCTTTAATTAAATGTATTATGCCAACAGATTTCTCATAACTGTATTAGGTTAGTTGAAAGCAATAAAACCACCAGACTCAGGGACAGTTTGATCCCACAGGCAATAACACTGCTAAACACCTGAGCTCTGTTAAGTGCCTCCATAAACATGCATCTGTTTGACATCTTGCAATTTACTTATTTATCTAAATTACAGTATTTAATTTCATCTTACTGTACAATATTTAATTTGACATTCTGTTCTTGTATATATCATATTCTATTTACATGTATATAGACTTCTTGCAGTTTATTTTATTTGTATTTTATTATATATGTTGTATTGTTGGAGGTAGGCTATACTCTACACTGTAGCTTACTGTATGTGCACATGACATTAAAACCTTTGAACCTTTGAATCTTCAATCTAATATTAAGTTGAACCTAATATTTGTTATTTAGACCTAATATTATTGCTTTCATCTAACCTAATACAGTTATGTGAAAGTCAACGGTTCAGTTTTTTCAGTGTACTGTGGACACAACACAGCAAATAGAGTCGGTGCCATGTCATAAAATGTGTGTTTTTTCACACTTTAGGCACAAAGGGACACCAACTCTGAGATCATTAACAACTATGTGAACCTCCTTGACCCCATCATGGCGCGAGTGAAGAAAAGCTCGGCAGGACCACATGACTACGCTGCGTTTGTGGAGGAATTTCTGCAGCGTGTGAAGGGTTTCATGGAGGAAACCAAGTCCAGTAAGGAAATGAACATTGGCATTTTGGAAATTGAACATAATCTGAGCGACGAGCAGATGATAATCAAAGCGCTGGAGGACTTCCAATCTGAGCTGTAACCTAATGTGGATCAGTGCCTCCATCTGATACTTCATCTATTGTGTCTGTGCGGTTCCATTTACTATTGTGCAGCTTTGTCTTTATGTTATAACTGGCCTTGTAATCATGAATGTATTCAAACTGTTTGATTTAAAATAGGATATTAGAGAAGGACAGGGTGTGAAATGTGTTGATGGACCTGTACTAGTGTGCTATTTTCAATGTCCTCGCACAAAATAATAATAAAAACTTTGTACGGCATGTTCGTGTACAGTTTTGTTTATGTAAATACACTGACTGATGTTTGCATTTTCCTGTGAAGTCCAGCTGTCGCACATTACTTCTGTATGCAAAACGTTAAAGGGTGTGTGAGGTACACAAAGGAGTAAACAGGCCTGCGTGTGATTACATTCAAATAAACAATCATAAACACACCAGCATCCAGACACCATAAGGGACATGCACTAACATCTTCATCAGTTAGTGCATGTCTATAGGTCCTGTTTGTGTATTTTGAGCCTATGTGTGTAATTGTAAGAGTGAAAAACTGAATTTCCCCTCAGGGATTAATAAAAGTTGATCTTTGTCATTCTACAGTTTTATTTATATATTTTACTTTTGCCTTTGCTATGATTCAAAGGAATACATTAAACTTACAAAAAAAGATTTAACATGTGGGGTCACCACACTCTAGGAGGCACGTTTATTATAATTTGTCAAAAAGAAATCTGTTATCACGATATTTCAATGTGCAGCAAAGCAACAGAAAAAAATATCCGTCATTTGACTTCATTTTGCGAGGAGACCGCTCAAATCCCTTTTCACTCCTTCATGTCTTAAAAAAACAAATTCCTGATTTAAAAAAGGAAGGCGGCAACCATGCACCTGAGATCCCGGATGAGGATTTGTTAAATAAATATTTGCTGCAGCACTCCTCCATAGGAACAGTGCTGTTCATCTTGTCTCCTGCTTTACAGTCAACCAGACCCTCACAGTGCACTTCATCCCAACAGCTATCAGCGAGGTGAGTGGTGTTTAAATGGATTGTAGTAGCATCAAAACAATTTGAGTTGTTTCATTATAACCACTCATGCATCCCTCTGTGAGTTAAACTGATCAGAGTCTGAGTCTTGTGAAAGGAGACGTGGTTTTTTGTGTTTAATGTATTTACTGAAGTGACGCCTTGAATTTCTGTAGCTCTTAGCTGCTTTTTGTAAATGTGTTCTAATTGTATGTGTGTTTCTTCGGTCCTCCCGTAGGACACAATAACATATTAGTTTCATAGATCTAGAAACCTCATTTTATGAATGTCGAGCCCAGTGCACTTTGAATTGAAATATTTGACACCTTCCTTTATGTCTTACACAGCACTCTGACTGGTATTTACACACTATTTATACAGTATTCAATCAGGAAGAAATGTAGGGATAATGGCTTTTACCATCATTCATAATATTTAGTGTTACTAAAATGTCAATCTTTTTGTTTCTGATTAATTGACAGCTCCCATGTTGCTATGGCACAGTACAGAGGATTCAAGCAGCTCCTCGGATGTGTGGCATCCATGTTTCTCTTTGCGTTGTCCTTTTACCAATGGGACATGTCACAACAAAAACGAGGTACAGTGTGTATATGTGTGTGTGTGTGTGTGTGTGTGTGTGTGTGTGTGTGTGTGTGTGTGTGTGTGTGTGTGTGTGTGTGCGTGTGTGTGTGTGGTTCTTACCGTTCCTGCTGTGCATCCTGTTTGGTCTTCCTGCTCCAGACACTATGTTCATGCTCCACTGCCTCTAAAAAATAGCAATTGAATAGATTAGTAAATGTTGGCGCTGCGACCTCACCCCACAGTGCTTGCTTTTGGATAATCGTGCCTCACATTAACACCTAAACAAACATTTTGCTCTTATTCCAGAGGAGAGGATCCATGAGACGCAGGAGCTGAGGAAGCAGCTGCTGAGAGAAACATGTGCCGGGGACAAAGAGACATTCAAGCACCGTTTAGAAGACGTCAGAGACAAAGAGCTGGAGAACCTCATTGTGGACGACAAACACGGCATCATCTACTGTTACATTCCCAAGGTGACACGCACAATACACTCTTATGGTACTAACTGAGGCTCAATGCACTCACACTGTGTCTGTGCAGTGAACCAATTAAGCAGTTTCCTTTCAATAACTCTGAAAAATATGGACATATTATGTTATTAACACTAACTCACTGCATCTAAATTAAATTAAATAAACTACTTTGCACACTTTTCCAATGTATACTGTATTCTATGTTTATAATAGTAGTAGATTGGTCTATTTTAGGAGTATTCTAACTTATTGGATACATTTTATATTGTGTATTATTTAGATACGCTAAAGACATTATCTCATACTGTTTGGTTTATTATTTCTATTTTTATTTTTAAATGTTTTTAACTCATGTGTAATGCCTGTTAACATGCTGCTGTGACAAAACAAGTTCCCAATTTGGGATGAATAACGTATATCTAATATAAACGTTAATCTAGTCCTGTTGCGAGCAGGTACATTTAAGTGTGAAGAGCAAAAAAGGTGGAATGCAAAGACAGAAATTCAATCTCTAAACCCATTGAATATAATTTCACAATAAAATAGCTTTTTATTATCTTAAAACCGATAAATAATCCTCTCGTAGACATCGCCCCTTTACTCCAACCTCATTCTTTTAAGCTTGAAAACACGTGGCACATTGAAACCAGGATATCTGCTGGTTACACAAGACTCTAAAACATGGCAGCCTGAGAGCTGAGATTTTTCCACCTAGAAACTAAATTCAGTTTCAGTAATCTTATTAGCAATTATTTACCCTTCTACTATAGCGTGTCGATCAGGGGTGCCCAACCTTTTTTGAACTGAGAGCTACTTTTAAAGTTGCCAGTCTGCCGAGATCTACCAGTCCAAATAGAGAGGCCTACTACCAGGTAAATACACACTTCTACTTGTATAAAACTGACCTTTGTACGATTAATACTTCATAAAATACTGCAGATCCTTTATCTTACCTCTTTCTACACACATACAAGTATTTAACTGAAGTTACACAACAGTGTTGTTGATACACAGTTGGAGTTTATTCACACGTCACATACTACAGTGGGTAATGTTTTCAAGAAACATTGAACAGTGCTGCCACATATGACACAGGGAAAAAAGAAAAGACTCTGAACCCTTTCTTTGCCATTATATAAAAATAGTGTTGCTACAAAAGTATAAATTAGGCTTACTAATAAGACAACTCAGATCTGAAGCTACACAGGAATCTGCTGCCAAAGTGCAATACAAAAGACAACATTAATAGAATCAAACCCTTATTTTTTTTGCATTTTAGTAGAGTATAAAAAGAAATGCCTTTAAAACAGGATGCAAGCAACACTAGTTTCTTAACCTGTATTGATAATAGACTATAATCAATTTAAACAGAACAGATCTTAATGTTTGCATTCTTATACCTTTTTGTACAATAATTATAAGCCAGGCTGCGGGTGTGTGTGTGTTTGGGGCTGGGCTTCGCTGTGTTTCGCTGTCTCGCAGACGGCCACTGGGCTCACAGGGGGAGGGGGGGGGGGGGGGGCAGGAGCTCCAACAAGCCGTTTAGGACAGAGAGTGAATACACATACTATACAGAGATGCTGTATGAGAAACCAATGTGAGTTTGGAACATTGCACAATATAAATGTATTTTAGTAGACCTCAACAATGGAATTATGATCAGTAGAAATGGCCATGACATGGGACCTTTAACAAAGACACTAATATCACTGATCTGCAACAACACTGGCTGTACATATGAAAACTGTTTTGCAAAGCCACTGCTCGTGCAATTTACGCTTTATTTTTGGTTTCAATTTATCTGCAATTTGTCCGGCTCCTACAATACTTTCATATGTTCGCTAACATACTGCTACTTACAGTAATTTTTCCATGGTGTACTTATTTGCATATCATTTTATTGACATGTGCTTGCCTTTTTTGTTATTATATATATCTACTCTTTTTCCTCTTGCCTTTTATTTGCACTGTACATTTGCTGCTGTCACACCTTACAGTACATTTCCCCACTGCTGCAGAATAAAGGATTTCTGATTTATAACAGGTGGCGTGCACCAACTGGAAGAGAGTGATGTTTTCCCTGACCCAGGACGAGCCGTATCCTGACCCCGTCTCCATTTCTCCTGATTTAGTCCACCTCCCCAACACTCTGCCTCTCCTGAACAGCTTCCCAAGACCAGAAATGAAGGTCAGTCCACACAATGACACATCAAAAGTGTCTAACGGTTACAACCAGGAAGCTTTAACTTTTTTCTTTCCTACAGGCCAAGCTGAAGCACTACACAAAGTTCCTGTATGTCCGGGACCCATTTGTGCGTCTCATCTCCGCTTACAGAAACAAGTTCCGGCAACACAATGAGTACTTCTACCAAGAATATGGCCGGCAGATTCTGCGCCTGTATGCAAACCAGCCTGACCCTCCACAGAGTGTGGACGAGGCCAACGCATCCGGGATGAGGGTCTCCTTTCAGAACTTCATCCAGTACCTGCTGGACCCGCTGACGGAGAAGAAGGAGCCGTTTGAGCCCCACTGGAGGCAGATGCACCGCCAGTGCCACCCTTGTCTCATAAAGTACGTTCATTCATGTCTGTTTCTGGACATGTAAAGTGATCTATGGAGGAACTACTTTATACACAAATTACACATGGAGCTTTAAAGGTCCCCTATTATACTCTTTTTCATCAATATATTATAGTTCTCAGATATATACAAGACATGTCTTTGAAGTGTTTGGCTCCAAATACCAAACAGATCATTGCAGCATCCCATAATCCCCTCTGTTTCAGCCCTGTTCAAAAGTACTGATTCTCTGTCTGTGTTTTGAGATGAAATAAGGAGCTACTCCCCACTCCCCACGCCCCTCTGAGAGATATTTGGTTAAAAAGAACACTCTAGGAGGAGATTCAGGTGATAAGGTGAGGGGGGGGGGGGGGGGTTACCTTGGTTGGTTATTGGCTAATGGTTACACAACCCAAAAAAAAACTTATGGCATTACGAAGTTGCCAAAATCTGATCAGCTCATTTTCAGACAGGTTTTTATATAAATGGATCAGGACAAAAGTGAGCGAATCTTTTTTCCTGAAATTTTCAGAATCTCTTAACGCAGAGGGGACACATGTTGATGTAGAAGAGACATGAAAAAGTGGATTTTGCATCATAGGTGACCTTTAAGTGCCGTCCATACCCATGTGAACCATCTAATCTAATCCAAAATTGATCACAAATGAATAATACTATATTAAACAAAGACCAATGCCCAAATATAATAATGAAACACCTTATAGAATTTACGCTAGAAACCACACTCTCTCTCTTTAAACAACATCAAAGAAATTCAAATATAATTGTGATAACAATTCCAGATGCAGAATTTGACTCTCACAGCTATAAGACATCACAGAGGGAATAACATTGACATTGGGTTTAAGTCCAGACAGTAAAAAAAAGAACACAATATTTCTTCTTAGATTTTGTTTAAGACCTCAGCATACAAGAAACAATTTGCCGGGGCAGATGATTGTTATTCATTATTAATGTGTTATTTAATGTCTGACTTTTAAGGATTTGTCTCTGAATGGACTACATTGAAAAACAATTAAGTCAAGCCTTGTTGATGTTGTTTCAATCTTGAGGTTTTCCCTGTAGTTTTGTGAATGTACACACACACACAGGAGGGACACATTTCAACAAGACAATTACTTATTGCTGCGGCTGAGACTGAAATAAATACAAGTTCAGAAAACCCTGGGACACATATTACAAAAGAATGCAATCATGTCAACACAAAACAATGCTGTGGTTTGACCTGAGTTTGTTTTACCTGCCAGGTATGATTTTGTGGGCCATCAGGAGACTCTTCAGCAGGACGCCTCACAGCTGCTGAAGATCCTAATGCTGCAGGGCGACATCCAGTTCCCTCCTTCCTATGAAAACATGACCACACCTGCTTTTCTGTTAGAATGGTTCAGCGCAGTGCCCCTAGAGGACAGGAGGAAGCTGTACGAGCTCTATGAGGAGGACTTCAGGATGTTCGGCTACCAAAGGCCTAGAGAACTGCTGGATGGTTGAGAGGAAGTCATGACCACTAACTCGCTGCTGAGCAAAGAACAATCTGTTAAGGACATGGCAAATACTCAACCACCTCAACTTAAGTTATTATAAGCATTATGGTTATTTACAAGGCATTTGTCTTTGCACAAAAGTCTGGGGAATTATTGTTTAAGGGGTTAGGATTAATAAATTAATACACAAAAGCACAAAAGACTCATTGACATGAAACACAGGTGGAACAAACCAAGGTGGGGCAGACAATTACAATGGCGGGAAAACAAACGGAGGAAGAAATGAAACAAAAAAAGACACCATGGATGGAATGAAGTCTAGTATGTTGGAAAAAAATGTTATAAAAATGGTCATGAGATAAAAATCATAGTACATCAAAAAGTCTCAACCAAAATGTCAAACTTAAAGGAAATGTAATATCAATGGAACTGTACTTATGGATCAATGTATTATATATCTTAATAAAGGTCCACACACTCAGTCAGAGCTACTTTACACACACTTGAAGAATGCTTACATGTTTGATTTCTGGGGGTGGGGGGGGGGGGGTAAGAGAAGCACACCCACAACCAGAAACTTTTTTATGCTTTATTACAAAACAACATGACAAAAACAATACATGTTTTAAGTTCCACACTCACAAAACGAGGTGATGGTGGAAATTAATTTCACATTCACATGTTCCAGTAGCTGTGAAGGTGAACAGAGACATGTCACCTGTCAGTTTCTTGCATGTTGAGATTTCCACACTGACACGTATCGTCCTGCTGAGCTGTGTGGCAGTGCAGGCAGGGACAGCCCCGTCACTGGAGTCCGTCTGAAGGACTCTCTCCACGGTTCTCTGCTCTCTGACAGCCACATCGCTCTGCCTGAAGCCCAGGATTGATGCTGCATGACGGGACAGTCTGTGGCTCAGTCCTCTGGGTCTGTGGACCTCTGGGATGTCAGCGGTGTGTCAGAGAGAGGAGCAGAAACACAGAGGAAGAGACAGAGGTGCTGAGAGATTCAAAGTGTCAGGAGAATGAGAGAGCAAACAACAACAGGAGTAAAGGAGAAAACAATATGGCTTTTCAATGTCTACACGTGTAGACACATCATCTTTTTTTTAAACATTTAAATTGCGCGACATCACAATCAGCTTGGACTCTTCGTATTTACATTTTATATTATGACACATTTTTCAGCTGTGGCTCTCATCCTGAACGCCTCACAACACTGGTTTCTCCCGCACATGCTTAATAAACGTATCGTATATTTCTCATATATCTCTGTAGTCTCTCTTCATGCCACAGCTCCCGTTTAAAGGCATTTAGTAGTAGCCATTTTGCATCCGTCCTGGGACAGTTCAGTTTGTTTTGAGGATGCTAAATGGCGCATCAACTTTTACATCAACCTTTCATATTGAGCTTTCTTCACACCGAGCCAGTGGTGCTGGTAATTTAAACAAGGTAAAGCTGGCCATCTCCTCCTCTAGTCCTTTTATTCCATCCCCCAATGCGTCTCCCAGCCCCTCATCCACCTCATCCCCAGACTCCCTCGTCCCCAGACTCCCCCTCTCCCCCGTCCTTCCATCCAGCAAATCTGCAGCTAAAATTTCAGAGGTGAGCTTCAGTCCGCTGTTGCTGGTGTTGCAGTTGGAGTACAGGGAGTTCCCGTGGCCATTACTGGGGCTGATCAGGGTGCCGCTGTAACTATTGCCATGGTGACTACCATTCCCATTGTTGCTGAGGAGCGTTGTGGTCGTGTTGGAGGTCACCGTCCCGTTGCGTTTTTCCGTCAGCCTGAATCCATCGGACAGCATGCTGGCGCTGCTCGGGGACTGCGGCGTGGCCGAGGAGCCCAGCAAGTCCCGCCCCTTCTCTGACGACAGCGAATTATCCGGCAGGTGGTGACCCTGGTGGACAATGCTGCGCCGACGGGTCAAGAAGTAGAGGAGGAACGCACCAAACGCTAAACCCAAGAAGAAGAAAAGGATGTAGATGGCCAGCACGTGGCGCCCCCCTGCTGTCACCACCACTCCTCCAGCATTAGGGCCTTCTCGAGTCAGTTGATAGGCTGCTCTGCGGCAGGGGGTCAGTTCTCTGACTCCTGGCCCAGCCTCCTGGAGAATAGCAACATGACACAGAAAAATATGACTTGTTTAATCTCAGTTAAAACAGGTACTTTTAAACTCTGCAGTTTGCAGTTAACTGGGAGTCTTATAGCAGGATACAAATTTAACAGGCTAAATATGCAAAGCTAAGTTTTGAATATATGTTTTGCCTGTGTACCTGGCAGGTGCAAATGTAGTCTCCGAGGCTGTCCTCTGTGACCGTCACCTCCAGGTCAGAGTTGTGCTGCCGGGTGTGTCTGTGGGGGGGGTGCTCCCAGCTGCAGGGCCTGGGAGACAGCTGGACACATGGCAACAGGAGACGCAGACCAAGAGACACTCGCAACTCCCTCATGGACGGACTGCAACGCCCTGGAGGAGACGACACGCAGGGAGCAGAAGAGAAACACACAAGGAGAATATGTTAATGTTACACAGGCTTGAAACATTTTTGCACTATTTCTATTGTTTTCTTTGCCAAAATGACACTGTAGCTTTTTGAATAAAAAATGAAATCACGCTTACCCTCCTCTTTATCACACTTTCTCAAAGCGTTGTCAACCACATCACCTGGACCAGGCCTGGACACACAGAAAACTGGTTATTTTGTACACATAACCAAACCATTTTCCAACCCAATACTGCTGCTGTCTGCCTTTATTTTTACATTTGGAAGGTTTCCAGTTTTATATTCCATCAGTACTCACTCTGCAGTGGTGGGCCTGCAGGCGGCCTCCTCTGTGCTCCAATCACAGCCCAGCCCTCTGGCTCTGGCACACTCTTTACAGTCGGAGTACAGAGTGCAGCCTTCAGCCTGGACCCGAGCCAGAGACAGGGGGCTGCCCACCAGAGCCAGACCCTGCAAACACATGGAGACATTACAGAACCACTGAGCTGCAACACAGAGCAGATGGAAATATGCAGCATGTGTGTGAAGAACTGTGCCAATACCTGGTGCAGTAAGATGTTGTTGACGGGCTCCTGTGAGCTGAACAGAGGAATCTCCTGCAGCAAGGTGGCGTTCTGTCCCACTACCGCCACCCGGTGGAGCTCCCCTCGATCTGCAGCACACAAACACAGAGTTTTGAGTTAATTTCTTCACACTTTCTGTCTTTTTTACTCCCTCCTTTCTTCTGAACCCTGCCTCCCTCTCCTCACCTGTTCCGAGGTGCAGCACTGCTCCCTTCTGCCTTTCTCCGCCTCCCATCTGCGTTACAGCCAGCTTGGTGTATCTGACTCCCTTGCGGACCAGTAGAGGTGCTGCAGTAACGCTGTTCTCCATCAGCGGGTGGTCCCTCACAAAAGTCAACACCTTGTCGGGAAGTTTCAGGGAGGACTCGTAGCCCTCGGCCTTCAAATCGTTGTTCAGACACTAACAAATGTAGAGAGAAGGATAGAAAAAGTCTGAGTTATTTGTATACAATGAAAGGTATTTTATGAAGTAGAGATGCTGATAGTACATATGCAGTAGTTGTGTGGTTGAACAGTTTAGTACCTGTCCAGGTCTTGGTGTGGGGACAGGTTCAGGGTTGATCCAGTCGCAGGTCTTCTTCAGCTCTTTAAAAGGGCCGTCCATCACTTTGCTGATTTCAGCCAGACTGAAAACACACACTGCTGACAACTCCCCATGCTCCCTATGAAGAAGAAAAAGAAATGTTCACATTTTAGGCTATGCTTCTGTTACATTTGGAGGGAAAAGGTTCAATTAAGTTGTTTGATATGAAAAGAATAGTTGACATTTTGGGAAAAACACTTTCCATTTCTAAGGGAGAGTTATCTGAGAATATTTCTCACACTGTACAGTAAATAAGAAACTACAGGCAGGAGACAGTTAGCTTAGCTTAGCATAAAGACAGGAAACATTGCAATCTCTGCTCCCTCTGCCTCCCTAAAAAATCTTCTTTCTCTCCTTTAATAGCTGACAGTTAATTGTCAATGACGCAACCTAAAATGAAAAACTACATTATCAATTAAATTAAAAGTTAAAAGAAGCTCTGTTTTTCCCTCCCCTGCCTGCTCCTTAGCTTACCACTGGGAGGTGAACAGTCCGTAGAACTGAGTGCTGCTGGGGTCTCCCGGTGTGTGTTGCGTGGTGAAGACGTCAGTGAGGATGTTGTAGCGCTGCCCGGTCGGTCTGTCCTCACACACCAGCTGCGCCTTGAGGAAAGTGGTCCAGCGCCGCTGCAGGGTCTTCATCCCTCCCACATCAGACTGAACAGACAGTGGGAGAAGACGAGGAATGAGGCAATTGATCGATCAATCAATCGGTCAATGTATCACTCAATTTAATCGCGATGGGTTACCTTGCAGACTCGTGCCACCCTGGGCACTTTGACTTTGGTGTAGAGGTCGTACTCTTTGGCCACCTCCGTGAAAAAGAAGTAGATTTTGTCGTCGTCCCCTATCGGGTTGTTTTCTGCAGACTCCTCGATGAAGGCTGAGCTCACAAACTCTGGGTCTGAGAAACACACACACACACACACACACACACACACACACACACACACACACACACACACACACACACACACACACACACACACACACACACACACACACACACACACACACACACACACACACACACACACACACACACACACACACACACACACACACACACACACACACACACACACACACACACACACACACACACACACACACACACACACACACACACACACAATTTGACTTTTTCCTGTGGGAAAGTATGACCGTGGCAATTTGAAGTGGCAGTGTGTCACTGTGTGTCCTATGGGCTTTCAGTGTGTCTCACCACTCAGCCAGTTGATGGATCGCTCAGTTCGGATGCGCTCCTGCTCAGCGCCTGTTGCCCGGGAGATGTCGAATAACGTTCCCAGGAAGTTACTGGTGGCTGCTGTGTAAAGGGTACCACCTAGACACAAGAGAGAGGAAGTAAGTTAGTTTATCCCTCAGATTAGCCTGATATTAAAGCAGATTATTGAGTGTAACATTCAGTGGTACTGACTCACCTGCCATGACAGCTGTGTAATGCTGACTGGGCTCAAACGGACACTTCCCCTTCCCTGTCTCCATCTTCACTCCTCCATCCTCAACTTTCTCCAGGGTGAAGGAGGTGATCTCCTGCAGGACGACAAGAGTAGGAATAGTTAGAACTACAATAGGGAAATATCAAATAAATAAAGGTTATATTGTAGATAATATTTTTTCACAGCTGTCTTTTGTTTGTTATGTCCTCCATCCTCCATCTTTTTACAGTGAGTTAAATATTTTGAGTTTCGTCTGATTGTCTGCTTAAAATGTCACAATAAACTACTGTTGACTTGCACTTCACAATTTTCTTCGTACTGAGTGTGACAGTGGAGCCTAAAAAAATAATACGTTTGCATAGTAGGATAGCTATATATTTGTGTGTGTGTGTTTATGTACTCTTCTGCCCGTCCCCTTGGTGAAGGATTTTGGTGTGAATGAGTGTGGGAACTTGTCACAGAGATTCATTTGCAGCTATCAATGCCCATAATGAAGGTGCAAACACACACAGAGACATGCAAGCGAACACACACACCAGTTTGGAGTTATAGCACACTGCAGCTGTCTGACAGATCCTGAGGCACAGATCTGCCTGATAAAGTGTCCTTCAAATATGAATTCATACATGCAACACAAACATACACTTTACAAAACACAAAGGAAAAACGGACCAGGAAGGCACACTGGGGGTCGAAGGCGTAGGTGCCACACACGTAGATGCGTCCATCGCCCAGAAACTCCAGCAGACGGATGTAGTTATTACAGTCAACCTGCAGGGGGAGACAAACACCCAGGAATAGTATTATTAACATCCGGATTTAACTTTATAAAGATTTTAAATAATAGTTTATGTATAAATTATAACATGAAATAAAAACTTTTTTTTAATAATTGTAAGACAAATAAGTGATATATTTATTGAATGTATACATTTAAATAAATACAAATATGTATTATAAATATTTATATTAATAATCGAATATATATATATTTATGAATAGTCAAAATAATTGTAATATTATCATCTGTAGCCTAAATTAGCTTATTTACCCAGTGTAGGGGAATACAAAGAGAGGTTAAAATATATAACTGCATTATTCTTTAAATTGATATTGCTATTGTGATTTCTAGTTTTAAAACAAAAATAATATTTTTTTTTCCCGTGAACAGAAGTATTAACCACATTGAGCTTTGGGATAAAGGTTGCAGTAGACTCTGAGAGCAGCTGGAGTATTAATGAATGTGATTGGAAATAGGAGACCCCCACTGATGGGAGAGACACTTGAGACCCCCTTTGCTACCAGCAGAGACCATCCATACTTACTCATACTGTACTAACATGCATGCAAACGGCCTCATTTTCATTCATTAATGACCCATACAAATTCACATATGCAGTCCTTGTAGGTCTCATAAATACAGAACATAGATGATGTATTTGTTGAGCTCTCCTCTGTGTACACACACATACTGAGTCCACAGAGAGTATGGAAAAACACCCCCATTGTTCCTCCCCAGTTAGCATGAAACCATGACGCAGCCAGTTTTTAGTGAGCGTCTGCGTGCGTGCCATCTTGGATGAGCTCCAGGCCTGAGTCACCTTCACCCCCGGGACCTGATCTTCTCTGATGGCCAAATTATGACACCCAAATCAGCCCCACCCCCCCACCATGCCACCACCCTGTCCCCTGAGACAGACGCAGGGCCAGAGACGAAGAGAGCTCAGGATGACAACAATGGGATCAGTTTGGGATTAGATATTTCATTGGTCCGAATTAACCTCATTCATACTAATAAGATTAATTCACAATCTGGCATGGATTGAATCAAATGACTCTATTCTGTTCAAGTCTTTTATATGTCAGTGTGTTGGAGATTATAATTAGAAATACTTATATTTCTTATGTTAAAAGCTCTCCTTTTCTCCAAGAGGTATGTACTCCTCATCTATAACCATATCAAGAAAACTCTGAATGGTGTTACTCTCTGCCTGGTGTGTTGTTAGGCAACTGCTTGTTAACACTTTAGCTAAATCCACTTATTATCATGTGTGAATGATTTGTTTAAAGGCTGTCAGGCTGCCCTGAAGTGGCCCAAAATATCAAAATGGAATAATAAAAAGGTGGATAAGCTCCTCTCTTTGAGTTGCAACAAAACCAAAAGTGTTTTATTTCTGTATGTTAACCTTTACACGGTGGCTTTCTACAATCAAATTGTCATCATTCATTACACCCAGAGTGTACAAGAATATTATTGGGCTGTGTGTCAATCAGTCCAAAGCTATTACCACTGTAGGTGTTGAAGGGCAGCACACACCTGGACATATTCTCCAATCAACACCCAGTAATAATAACAGATGAGTCAACAATTGTTTGAATTCACTTTGGTCTAGCCTTCCTTTGTAGTTTCACAAGAGACATGTATGATGCCTTGCTCTGCCTTATGATCAATGTTGACGACACCAGCAAAGTACTATTTTATCTTTTGCAACATCGCAGATGTCCTACGCTTAGTAACATCCTGCTGATAGCTACTGAGCATTGTGCAACCCTGCCAACTTACCCTGATGTGTGTCACTCACTCATCCACTCACACACACACACACACACACACACACACACACACACACACACACACACACACACACACACACACACACACACACACACACACACACACACACACACACACACACACACACACACACACACACACACACACACACACACACACACACACACACACACACACACACACACACACACACACACACACACACACACACACACACACACACACACACACACACGTCTCTATGGGTAAAATTCAAGGTAGTTTCTTGTTGAGTCTAGTTTCTTGTATCCTGCTCTGTATTTCTCTCTTTCTTTGTCTTGCAACAATGCTCCTCATCCTTCCTTACTCACTCACTTGTCTAGCGTCCTTCCACTTCCTGTTTCCTTCCCTCTCTCCACTTATTTGTAATCCTTCTGACTCACATGTAATCTTGTAATCAATGTCTTCTCAGTGAACACACAGCCCTTTTCTTTCCGGCCTTCATCAGTTGTTCACCTCAACAGAAAGCTCATTATGATTGTACAAAATGGGTCAAACCAAATTACACTTCCTTCTGTTAATACTGATAATAGGAGGCTACATTTTCAACCCAATTCTCTTCTAAAACTTTCAGTGTATGATTAGTTTACTGTAAGCAATTTGGTTGATGTCCTATTGTAGTCCCAGCATAATGAAATGTACAGCTTGAGTGTACAGTACGCTCTATTTAATCAGTTTTCATACACAGATACTGGGCATCTGTGACTTCACATACACCCCTCTGACACTCATTCTGTATCACACACACACACACACACACACACACACACCCCTGATGAGGTTTTGGCAGCCGTCCCAGAACTTCGCATCCGATGCCTAGCAGCACGGGGTTTTGACACACACACACACACACACACACACACACACACACACACACACACACACACACACACACACACACACACACACACACACACACACACACACACACACACACACACACACACACACACACACACACACACACACACACACACACACACACACACACACACACACACACACACACACACACACACACATTTTGGAGCATAAAATATAGGCCCATGACATCACACATTTCAAATCTCTATGGGCCACTTGTATTGAGTAAGTTATTCCTAAAATGAATAATATTACAGAGGGTCATCAAGTTTCAGGACACCACAATTGTGCACAAAATTGTAAAAATGATCTAGGCATCACTTAGCCAAACAACCTTTTACTTTAAGAACTGAACCTTATTTTACATGAAGAAGGCGTGTGAGGGGAAAACACACACACAGCTCTCACCTCAGTTTTTCCCTTTGCTACACAAGACCTCCTCTTCTCCTCCGGCACATCCCAAACAATCTGAAATGAGAGGAGAGAGAGACAGAAGTGGGTAAGGCATGGTCATTGCTCATCAAAAGCTGATTAGTAATCAGTGTTTAGACTCATCACAGCACTCGCACAAAGAGCCCTTTTTTTCCTGGTAAATTAGCTCAACAGTGGTGGACATCTCTTGAAGGAAGTAAATAGGATATATGATATCTAAAGGCCAAACCTGACACCGCATCTTTTGTTTATTTCCCTATGATCCCCCATTAGTATTGAGAACCATTAAAGGACATTTATTTGTATTTCTTGCACAGAGTTGACCAGTAGGAAGCCAAAGCAAGGAGCAATTTAGCTTAGCTTAGCATGGACTGGAGGATAGGAAGCGGAGGGAACAGCTTGAGTTTTTCCAAATGTAGAAAATAAACCAGACCCTTTAAAGATGACTTATCAAGCTATTAAAGCCTAGCTTCATATTAAGCATACAGCATTGAGTGGCATTGATCTTCTCATCCAAATATTTGTATCTCCAGAAATGTTTAATGTACCTTTTACTCTCTGTTCCTGGTTGGTTTAATTCATTCGTCAGCCTAATATGAACCTATGTGATCCTCCAAATCAGTTCAACAATGTTGATAATATAATATGACAAATGTATTGACCCCTCACTAGCACACATGCTTCCTACCTTTCGGGGCACTTGGTTCAGGTTGTTGGTGTCCACAGATAGGATGGCATCCCTGGCTCCGAGGAACAGCACGCCTGATGAGCGGTCCAGCAGGAAGGTGCTGAAGTTCCCCACATCCTGGAATTTATGCGGACCAAGTATGTTGTCTGTGGACCAAGAGAAAGAGAGGGGGTTAGATTTCCAGGATGAAAGAGAAGTCAATGCTGCTGTCAAACATCACACAAATAATGCACTTAGAGAGCTGGGGACGACAAGAGTTTTAGTAGTACTTTCTTTGGCCATGTAAGAATAAATAGTTGACGAGATTAATCCCCACCATTTCCCAGAAAGAGGTTCAAAGAGATAAAGAGATGAGGGATGAGAGTAACCCTTGTTTCAGCCTGGTCTCTCTCACAATCACTACAGATTAACTCCTCTAATCCCTCTCTGTCCAAGTCTTTATTTTCTCTGTTTTTGAGGGTTTTCTGTGTCACATTCACAAACACCCACTCGACTCTGTTTCTCTTCTTTTTTATCTATCAACTTTCCTCTAGGTTTCCATCTATCTGCCTTAATGTTTCACACTTATGTAGAATGAAATCCACTGCTGAAGATAAATACAAAAAAGGCATAATATTGACTAAATAATGTAATCATCTTTTACATTAAACATGATGTGTAATCTCAGAAAAAAAATGTTTTAAATCTCAAAACTATCCCATTAATTCAATCACGAAAGCAACAGCGAAACCTTCTCTATCATCCACTACAGTACAAATCAATGTGTGTGTGTGTGTGTGTGTGTGTGTGTGTGTGTGTGTGTGTGTGTGTGTGTGTGTGTGTGTGTGTGTGTGTGTGTGTCTCAGCTTCTCAGAGGAAAGAGCACAGCTGTGTACTGAACTTCAGTGGAGTGCTAGTGAGAGAGCAAGAGTGTGTGTGTGTGTGTGTGTGTGTGTGTGTGTGTGTGTGTGTGTGTGTGTGTGTGTGTGTGTGTGTGTGTGTGTGTGTGTGTGTGTGTGTGTGTGTGTGTATAAAGGATTTAGCAGGTTTTTTTGAAGACCGTCATCAAAAAACACCAGACATTTTCAGAAAAATAACATAAAATTCAAAAAATGGATCTAGTTATTGGTTTCCGAGTTGTACTACTTCCCAGTCAAATACACATACACACACACCCCTAGCACACACTGCAAACTGACAGATGAGGTAATCGTGGATAGATGAATAACTAATGCTAATAAATGACGCCTAATTTAACCTCAAACGAAGAAACAGGAGCTATGGATTATAACACATTACTCACTACACTATTACTCAGTGTATTTGCACAATCCAACACTAACTGGAGCATGACTGATGACAGTAACAAGCCTACGATTAACACAAACAAAGGCAGACTCACAAATGAAAATAAGATAAAGTGTTAATCATCAATTACACAAATGTGGTGTAGATTAAGGTGTATTTCATGTCTAACAAAGTACAAATTAATCATTGTTGTTATATTACAGTAGAATCATATGGCATCAAAAACCCAGTCAAATCAGCTGAAATCTCAAGCTACACTGATGGATCTATGGAACAGTTCAAACTATTGATTACAATAATGTACATCAAATGTGCACATTTAAGAAAATGTACAGAAAATATATATTTGAAAGATAACAAATATCCTATTATATTTAGATAACATGATCTGTTTAAGTTTATGATTCTGAATGTATGATGCTGAAGTTCTTAGCTAACATGCTAACAACTTTGTTCTGATAAATCACTAACAAAGCTTTTAACAGCATATGTTGTTGCTGTGTGTCACATCACATTTTGGTTAAGATATTTTAACCTTTGTCTCTTAAGCAGCCATATTATCCTCTATAAAACACATTTACACACTCTATTTCCATTAATGGTAGATAGGAAACAGATGTCTGATGGCCTTTTCTAACTCGCCTAATAATTCAGAGAAAAGGAGAGAACAAAAACACACACCCTGTATTATTCTGCATGTGGAGATGATGAGGTGATGTAACACAATCATAGAGGAGAGTGTTCAACAGCAAACAGGAAGTGCATTAGTTTAAAATCCCTCATTCATCTTTAAAATACAGATAATAATTACTTTCCCAAATTACACGAAAGACAAAATATTTTCAGGAAAATCCTTCTAGTGACATAACCCCCAATTTGGCAGCTGTCGACTAAAAGATGAAAACTCGTACAATCTGTCTCTCTATGGTGGCTGCCACTCAAAGTACCATGTCAGGATATTTTTTGATAAATGGCACTCGTCGCTGACATGGTTTTCCACTTAGAGCCTGTCTGTGTTGTTCTGTGAGGAGAAAAAAAGATCCCAGCACTCTGACATCTGCCTGTATCTGAATCACAGACATGTCCTCTCCCCTGCCTCCATCAGTCTGCGTCTGCTGCCCGTAACATTTCACATGAATGTCATTTCTCATTCACTAAGAAGCCATCTGTTTGGATAAAAGCCTGCAGGCAGTCAAATAGCAAGCCGTAGCTCTGATTTGCTCACTGAGGGCCTGCACTTCCTGAATATCAGCCAATGTGAGGAGGGGGATCGCAGTCTGTTAAAGCAAATATGACAGACAGAAGTAGACACACACATTTGTTTAAATGTTTACTACAAAGCTTCTGGAAGTTTAGCTTGGTTGCCCTTAATCAATGTTTCTGAATTGTCCCTTTTCACTTTCAGCTCCGAGCTAATAAAATAAACACTTCCCTTCTCAATCTGTCAATCAAATCTCTTCAAATAAAAGATCATCAGAGACTTGTAAGCTTTTCATAATTTCGTCCCTTTTGTCGCCTTTTCATCTATACATCTTTTCATCTGCCTTCAGCTTGACATCGTCAAAAGACTTCTTCAATCTCACTCTACAGCCTGTCTCACTGCCGCTCTGACACACACATGCATCAACACACACACAGCAGAGAAGACATGAGCGCTTGTGACACAGGCCAAAGGCAAGGTCTGCAGAGATGTCCTTGTGAACACGACGACACACACACACACACGCAGGCGGTGGCACCACCTGCTGTGCACCCTAATGTAGAGAAATGATTCCTAGAGCTATACCATCTGCCCTTCTCACACAGACAGACACCGATAACAGACACACACTAAAGAAGAGACCTGACGCATGCCTCGGGACGAAATATGTCATGCAATTTACATCCCCCATTTCTCTTTTGTCTTCATGATGACATGCATAGCTGATTGTTAGATGCACTTTAGGAATACATTGGAATTGACATGTGTCACAGGAAGACAGGACGCTCTGCAGGTTGGGTAAACGCCTCCTTTTTTTCAGCGTGGGCCTCGAAGCTCACAGAGTATCGAATATCATCTCCCTGTCTTTGTGGCCCTGACATACAGAAGCCATTCATGTGTGATGTGTGTATGTGGAGATGTGCATATTGTCAATTATCAAAAAGACACATGTTGCAACATAGAAGAACAAATGTAATTCTAGTGAGACTGAACCAAAATACTAAATTTGCAGGCCTGAAAAACCAAAGAAAGACACTAAACATCTCCGTAGCGCAAAGGGACATTTCATTTTTGGATGATATTTTAGTCTCATTTCACATTATAGACCTATGTGATCTATTTTTTATAAAAGAGTATTGATTAGTGCAGCTTTAACATGGATCTATAAGAACAGGCCTACCCCACAGTGTGTAATCCCTGGATGAATTAATATTTTAAAATAGAGCAGTGGTTATTAAAGTGCTTCACGGATGCTTCTGGGACGGTTAACAAAAAGCAGGATTAAACAGAAAATGAAGAACTGCGCATTGAAAATAATTCGGATGATGTGTCTAGAAAACCTGGCGACCCTATACATGCTGAGAAAAAACTAAAATCACACCCAGGGTATAATTTTAAAAAGCGACTGGTGTGAGTATAAATGAATAAGTAGTCCTAAAATACAGAATCCTCTCCCCTGCCATGAATCATTCATTCATTATACATTAAACATGACTGAGAGGCAGCCAGGGAGAGAGACCGTGTGTGTGTGTGTGTGTGTGTATATGTGTGTGTGTGTGTGTGTGTGTGTGTGTGTGTGTGTGTGTGTGTGTGTGTGTGTGTGTGTGTGTGTGTGTGTGCACGCGTCCATGTCCATTAAGGGTTTAATAAACTGGCTCTTGCTCCAGGGGACCAACCCTGGTCTCTGGCTGCAGGGCATTGTGGGATGGGACCAACCAGGAAGTGATAAATTATACACCTCCCTCCTCCATGTGTCAATCAAAACTGACAGGATGGAGAGAAACGATGCACACACACATACACACCTGCCCCCACAGTCTCACACACACACAGCCTCAACCCCTTCACTGAGAGAGGACACAGCTGCGCACACACGTGCACACACACACACACACACACACACACACACACACACACACACACACACACACACACACACACACACACACACACACACACACACACACACACACACACACACACACACACACACACACACACACACACACACACACACACACACACACACACACACACACATATACTGTATAGTGCCATCATGCACTCCTCTCAATGCTATTTTCCAGCTGCTGTTTCCTCTGTATTGTCTGCAGCAGCCAGACTCCACAGGTTAAAAGAATACATCAGCTAATGTTCCCATTAGTTAGCATGTTCCCCTCCTCCACGCTAACACATCATCATAATGATGAGCGATAGCAGACAAGTAGCATCATCTGAAGTGAGACGACCCTTCTTTGAGTTATACAGGCTGTAGGCTGAAATAATGCAGATGTAGACAAGATTGTTTCAGTTTTTAAGTTAAAAAAAGCACATTTTATTCCCCTGTGCAATTATCTTTACACTTTGTATGCAAATTATAGCATTATTTCTACGCAAAACGTAACATTTTTATTTTGTCACGATAGAAGCTTTTGTTGCTCAATTTGAATTTATTTTACAATAAAAAAAATACAATGTACAGTAGGTTCCAGAGCCAAACAATGGATATGGTTACTGAGAGTTTGTGTGTGCGTGTGTGTGTGCGTGTGTGTGTGTGTGTGTGTGTGTGTGTGTGTATGTATGTCTGGTTAACCCCTTCTTATTGTTCCTAAGTGGTTCATTGTCTTTGCTTTGATTGATGACAGAGGTCAGCTATTC